CGGCCGGGCGGCGGGGGGAGGCCGGGGCCGCGGAGCCACGTCGTCCTCCCGGGTGGGGGGCGCCGGGCTCGGGTTTCCCCTCGGCCCCTCCCCGCGATCTCGTCGCGAGGGGCGGACCCAGGCGAACCCGACTGGGGACTGGAGGGCTCGGCGGAAGACCGGGAAGAAGTTCTTTGTCAAGCAACAGATGTTTGAGGATGAAATTCCCTCTGTTCTTCCGGAAAACGGAAAGGAGCCAGGCGCTGCCCCTCCTCACCTCCAGATGGGCGCTGGAATCTCCATCCGACAGCACCCCAAGATGTGGGGACTTAAACCAGCCCCGCAGCCCCGAACTTGGAGTCCCCTGGAAGTGAGGTGGCAAACTCAAACTCAAATGTGGCAGAGAGTCTTGGAGGCAACTTCAGTTTGATCCAGGGCCCCAAGCCGACAGAGTCCTGTTTCCCAAAGGAAATCAGGATTTCAGATATGTATGCTTTCATTTCCAAATGAAGGCAACTCGTTTTACAAAAGCATCATGTGACTGTATATAACCCTTGTACATTGGATTGGGAGTAATGCTACCCATGTAGAGAAACCACAGTGTTCTGACAACGACTATCCACAGGCAGTGGTTACTGAGCACACGCTGTAGCTAGTGACTGAGGCTGTGAACATTTTGTGACTGAGGCTGTGAATATTTACATTTAAATCGTCACATGTGACTACTGGCTGTCAAATTGGGCAGTGCAGATCCACAGCAACTGATTCTTTTTGTCTTTTTGTGTCACAGCTTTTTAAGGCTCATTGAAGCCCAGGGACTGTCTTCCAGGAAAGGAGTTTCCTGGCATGGATGTTTGGTTCCAATATCAGACTTTCATGAATCTTCTGAAGCCCCAGGTCAAGAATCTCTAGAAAACTTGGACTGAGGGTGAGAGAAGCCCAACTCCCCACAGCTGTACTCCCAGAGGCTTTTTTTGGCTATCCTTGCCAACCATCCCACCTCAGAGAGTCCAGATAAGGTCACAAGTCTATGTTCTTGTCCTTGCAGTAAAGACATTCAGGACGCACTCAACAATAGTATAAATGCAAGTATGCAGGTCTTGTGAAGACTGATTTCAATCTAGTAAAACCACTGTGAGCTCACCATGGCCATGCATTGGTAGGAAATAAGACAGTCATAGTCTCTGGAGAGCTATAAAATATGTGAACATATATTCATTCATTCGTTCATACCATCTGTCCGTTTGTCCATTTGTCAGGGGTGTGCTAGGTACTGGCTTACTGAGCATTCTGTGTGACCAGTGCTCAGGAGGGGCCTTCAGTATTATGGGCCAGAGCCCAAACTTAGGGGCCAACCAGGGAAGGCCTCCTTCAGAAAAGGACTTCTAAGCTGAGACTGGGGTGTTGGGTATGTGAGAAGAGATCCAATCCTATGCCAGCTGGCAGAGAGAATTTAAGATAACAACATCCTTGTGGCCTGTCCATTCCCACCACTTGGGGAAGACCTGGGGGGTGCAGTCTATGTGCCTCATCCAGCTGAGCTGACTTTTCATGGCATAGGAAGTGTTCCATTTGCCACCAAACATATCCCCACTGCCAGCCCAGATTCTTGAATTCCTAATGGCAGCAAAGCATTACTGTGTATAAGAGCTCCTTACTTAAAAGCAAGAGCCCGGAAGGGAAGTTGCTTAGTAACTTCTGGGCTCATCAGGCAGCAGATTGAATGAGGGGGAAGAAGTAGGAGTGGGAGGAGACACAGAGAGTGATCAAGGCTGGATAACGAGGAATAGGAACGCAGTGGGAAAGTGGGTGGAGATTGAAGACAGTTGGCTGGTTCACAATTTGGGCAGGCATGGGTTTGGGGATTGTTCACAGCTCTTGGGAATGAGGACAGCACATCCTAGTTGGCTTCCTGCCACACACAAGCGGATTCCAACAGTTAGATTGTTCCAGAGGTAGGATTGGCCCCCTTGGGAATTATCAGAGAATTGTAGCGCTGTTGTGAGTCCAGAAGAGCTATATCATTTCCCCTGGGCCTCTGTATACTCAACTTCCTTTATATTTTCATTTCTCTACTGCATAGCTGTGCTTACACCCGTTGCACCACCAGGGAGGGCCCAGTCAGGGTATTTCATTGCATAGTTGTTTTCTTTTGCTTTTAAAATGCCTTTTTATTTCTCCCCCACGGGCCTGTGTGACTAAGTACACTGTCCTCTCACAGGTTAATCTTCATTCTATCTCTCTTTTTAAAAAGTCTCCACTTTCGATAAGGCAAAGGACCCAGGAGTGACATTTATAACAGAAGACTGAACCAATGGAAAGGAAAGCAAGTTTCAAGTCAGTATATTTGGGATATACTAGTGTGCTAGATGTGATATCATCTACAATAAAAATAACCAGAAGTTACTAAAACAATAAGAAAGCGTACACATAAAATTTTAGATGAGAGCCATTTCAGATTGGTTAGAGCGGTGTCTTGATATTATCAAGGAAGAACATTTTCTCTTATTTTGTGGTTGTTTGGTTTGTTTTTCCTCAGAGGTAGGGAAAGGGGTGTTCCTGCCTTTATTTATTTTTTAATATAATAGTTTATTTTTACATCATTTTGTACATTTTTTTCATCTCATTTGTAATCCCCGTGGGTTTCCCAGCACTGAGTCACCCGTGTGCCATCACCATAGTCCTGTGCACTTCCCTCCCCCATTTTTGATCCCATTCCACACTCCACCGCCACAAAATGGTATATGGCTGTTCATTATTCTTATTATTTTCTGACCTGGTCCATTATACTCCTGCTTTGAGGGAAACCATCCGGTACCTGCTTTTATTAGCAGCAATGCTTTTAGAGTATTACCCTTCAAATCTCATTGGTTTGCATCCTGCTGCATGCCTATACCTGAGGCAATGACAGACAACGGGAATAGAATTTCCAGGGGTTGATTTAGAGGCACCCAGATTCATTTCCCGGAGTTGGAAGGCACACATCCTGGGAAGACCAGCATAGTGTTCTGTTTGCAAAAGGACAATCCAAATAGCTGTGTCTTCTGGGCAGTCATGATTAACTGTTCAAAGCAGGGTTTTAAAGTGAAGTGTTTAAAAATGCTTCATTCCACCTCTTTCTACTTCTGTAGCATCCAAAATTGAGATAGTTCAAATGCACCTTTTCCATGAAGTTTTCCCTTATATTTATAATGAGTAGTCTACTTTTTCCTGAGTATGCCCAGAACCTTATACTCATGCATAATACTTTTCCTAGTGTTTGTATTAGTAACTTGCCTAAGGCTCTCCTCATTCTAAATTTAAGAGTAAGGGGCATATATGATCCATGCTAAGTTCATATGTACAGAAACTAGCACATTTATTGCCTTCTTGTAGAAGTTGATCCTCATAGGATGGATTTGCCATGAAAACAGGAACCACATAGTTTTGGTTCATCACTGTAAACCCAGCACTAAACCCAGGCCTCGTCATAGTACATGCCCAGCAAGTAGTTTGAATAAACTAATGGAATAATGACAGCTATTGATTTCTGCTTCTGGGCAAGATGGGAGAGGGACCACATTGACCCTCCCATTTGAATCAAATAAACAAAAAGCAGGCAAAATATATGAAACAACATATTTCAAGGTAGTGGACACCAGGCAGTGAAGAACATTGCAACGTGAGTCCCATGATTGCCCAGCTTCTTGTCAGCCAGAGAACAGAGAGTAGCAAAAAAGAAATAGAAATGATAGAAAAGAACCAGGTGGAAAGTGTCAAGTTGAAACGTATGATAACCAAAAGGATTAATTTATTTATTGAATAAATATCCAGCAAAGCTATCTTTCAAAAGTGGAGGTTAAATAAATATTTCTAGACAAACAAAAACTAAATCCACCATGAAGAAATATTAAAGGAAGTTTTTCAGGCTGAAAGTCAGTAACACCAGCCACAAAACATACATACACACACTTGCAAGTATAAGTAAAGATAATGTAATCATTTAAAACAATATAAATGCATATTTCTTTTCCTTATAACTGATCAAAAAACTGCATTGTATGGAACATCTATATAGTGTCTGTAACATTAATATACATAATATATTTGGCAATAATAATACAAAGGAGGTGGGTGGGAGCAAAGTTGTAGTAAGCCTAACAAAATTATACCAGGAAGTAAAATTCACAGGACAAATGAAGAAATGAAGTGGTAAATAAAAAGGTAAATATTACAAAGCTATACATGTATATGCTTGTTCTCTTTCAGCTCTTTTAAAAGATATAGATTATTCAAAGTAATCATTATAAAAGTGTATTATTGGATCTGTAACCTCATGAATAACAATAACTGCACAATCAAAGAGAAAAGGTAATAGTTATACACTAGTAACATTGTTATGTTTCATTAGAATTGACTTCTTATATTTAAAGTAGATACTGATAGGTTGAAATGCATAAATAAGTCCTGGTGCAAAGAGTAAGGAAATAACTAAAAAAAATATTCTGGGGAAAAGAATCATTAAAAGAAATGAAAATATTATACTAGAAAACAAACACCTAATACAAAAGAAAGCAGTAAAGGAGAACTAGAGAACCAAAGGAGAAGGAAATGTTTCCAGATTAGGTGTGACTCAAAGATACAAGAAATGATAACTGAATGGGTAAATACCACAAGGTGTTAAAAAATTGTATAAAAATTTTAAAATTATTTTAAACAATAATTGCTCAAACAAAGTAATAACAGTGTATTGTGATGTTTATAACATGCATAAGTTAAATGCATAAGAAAAATTGTATAAAGACAAGGGAAGAAATGGAAATAACATTTTTTAAGGTTCTTATACAAGAAATGGTGTTATGTTGCTTTATGGTACATTGTGACATAGTAAAGATTATGCACTAAGGGCCAATTACAACAGAACAGGAGTTAGTGTGAATTGTTTTACTAAAGTTTCTGCATAGCCTTGACCCTTTAGTCCAGGTATGGTCATTCGTTGAGTTGTCTTGAAACTGTCACTCCAAGGAATCTAGGGACATCTTTTTTTGGAATCTGGGGACAATTTTTAACCACTTGTCCATGTGTTTTATTGGACTCTTGGAAAATTATGCTGTTTTCATATGAAGCAAGAATATGCCCATATGACCAGGGAAAGTCACTCTTTAGAGTTCTTTGGTTCTCCAAAGAATAAAGGTATACTTTATATGTGATGGCATTTATGATCCAAGAGATAAACTGAATTTGGTTATGGCCCTTACAGACCGAGAGACGATAGAACACTCCTACTGACCTTTCCAGACCCATTGCTGTGAGATATCTTTTGCTTCTATTGCATGTCTTTGATGTATGTGGTACATTGCATTTCCCCTCCCCCATATGTTTACAAGCATTGTCATTTTGGGTTCTGTGAGTCATCTTTAATGACTCTGTTTAATTTCCATTGTTAGTGTAAAGAAGTATACTATAAACCTTAAAGCAACACAAAATATCAAAGCAGAGTTATAGCTAATGAGCTTAAAAGGTCATAGAATGAAGGCACATAAATTACCCAATTGAATAGAAGGCAACAAAAAGAATCCAGAATAAATGAAACAAATATAAAACAAGTAGCAAGACGATAGATTCAAATCTAATCATATTGGTGATTATATTCAAAATAATTATTATAAACCTTCCAATTTAAAAGGCAGAGATTGTCAAATTGGGTTAAGAAAAAGCAATAGTGGCCCTCCCTGGTGGCGCAGTGGGTTAAAGCACAGCATTAAGAAGCTAAAGCCACTTCCGCATGAGTTCGATCCCCGCCTGCCCTGGAGGTGACCACATGGCGCGGCAGACCTCTCCTGGCCCGCCCACTGCTCCCCTCAGCAGTGTACTTCATCAATCTGCCTGTTCTGCTCCCCGCTCTGTCTCTGGTGAAACCTATCACCCACCACATCTCTGGCCTGTACCCCAGTTCTGTATGAATAAATAAATAAATCTTTAAAAAAAAGAAAAAAGAAAAAGCAATAGTTAGCTATATGCTTTTCACAGGAAGTATATATGTACCTTACATATAAAGATACTGATAGATTAAAAGTATAAGGACGGACAAAATGGACCATGCTGAAAACTAATCAAAACGTTGGGGTGAATATACCAAGGTACATTTCAGAATGAAGGTTATCAGTAAGGATAAAGATTACAAGGCTGCAACTACACAGGGATAAATTGATTAAGAGAGCATAACAATATTAAATGTTTATTCACCTACTAGCAAGATTTCGAAACACATTAAAAAATAAAAAAGAACTGCAAAAAGAAATAGCAGACTAACAATGCTTGATTTGGTTGCCATTTTGGAAAATTCCACTGAACAACAGCAGAATATAGATTATTCAAATTAAGAAAATTTACCAAGATTGACCATACTCTGAGCCACAGAATAATCCTCAATACATTTAAATGGATTCAAGTAATATAAATTATGTTATTGGAGTAAGTGAACTTGTTACTATCACCTGCTAGATTTTGTAGACAAAGCCAAATTAGCCAATCAAAAGGCCAGCCTAATAATACTAACTTGCTTCACTTTAAAACTGACCCTTGCAAGATGATCATAGATCTGAGGCATCCAGGAAGAGAAGGGGATGTAGAGAAAAATGGATTATGGTAAAGGATTAGGAAAGACTATGGGTGCTTTGGTGGTATGATAGCTATGGTGATCACACCAGAGGGGAGAAACCCTACATTGTGTGAAAACAAACACGGATGTAAAATAAGGGTACATCAATAATAAAAACAGAAAACTAACCTGTCTTTGAGCTTCCAGTTTCAGTGCCATCAAGTAGAGAGCTTGGAGGTTATTTCTACTGACCTTACAAGGAAAAGGCTGAACAAACTGAAAATCAGTGATGTGTTTTGACCACAGAAGAAAACTGAGGTTGCAGGGCAAGCTGTCATCTGGAAAGACACATAAATGCAGAGAATCCCAGCTGAGTGAGATCAGCTCACTTAGAACAGACATTTTAGAGCCAAAAAATGGTAGGAGCATTATGGTGGTAATTTGGATCAATTTCTGGAGGTGGTATGAAGATTAAAAGAGAATAAGATTCCTGTGTGGTGTAATCTTAGGGACAGTGGTCCAGACTGATGTGGGTTTTATCTCTAGAGACTGTTTCAAGTCCTCATGGTGAAATGCCAAGAGAACCGTCACCTTCTGTCTCTGCTGTGTAGGGAGACTCTAACCATCTTGAACTATACCTAGAGGGCCCTATATAACAGAGGGCTATTCTCAAAGAAAAATGTTTTCTAGAACCTTATCTCTCTGGGGAAGGCATTTTCCTGTCTCTAGTTCCCTCGAACCGTACTGTCTCAGTTAAGAAAGTGGAGCAAAGAAACACCTGTGAAGGTGCAATCAGAGATGCAAACCCATGAAAAGACCATAGGACTAGAGAATTCTTCTTTGCCCCATTATTTACCACCACATCAGCAGGGTTCCAGTACAGTAACAGTCTTACAAATGAAAAGGTTTGAAGATTCCATCTCTACTTACAGAGTTTGCAGGGAAGCCCAAAGCCAACAGGGGAAACAAAACAAAGAGACTGGGAGAATTTGAAGCCATTGGCACTTACAGTTATAGCAAACATTAAACACAGCCCAACTGAGCCAGATTAAGGTAAAACCTCACTTATTTACTTTATGTTCTATTTACTTTAGTACCTATTGAATGTCAATTTACTTTAGCTCCTATTGCCCAATATATCATGTCTGCCTTTCAACAAAAAAATTACAAGATACACTAAAAGGCAAGAATAAACACAGCCAGAAGAAGCAAAGCAAACAGCAGAACCAGATTGAGACAGACGGCAGATTAGAAAATGATTAGATAGTACACTTAAAATAACTATGATTAATATGTTAAAGTAGACATATAAGAACCATGGAGAATGTAGGCAGAGATGGGAAACTTACAGAATAATAAAAAGGAAATGCTAGACTTATTAAAACAGCAAAGCACTGGCCAGTGCCTATAAGACTCAGGCACGCGGGAGCAGAAGAGAACATGTGTTTTGAGTGGGCAGGCTTTTCCCAAAAGAAAGGGGAGAGAAAGGGACTGTGTCACTGCAGCACAGTTTCTGGGTGGCAGCAGATACATAATGGCTGCTCCTACAAAGAGCATAAAGATAGATTAGAAGTGAAAAAGTTTCTCCCAACATTGTGTTTGAAAGCAATTGCTGACTTACAGCATGAAGGGTGGAGTGAAAAGAAGGAAGATGAGTTAGAAGGCTATTGCCAATGGAACAAAGATTCCAACACTGACATCTGCAGTCAGTTTATTCTTTTCCCTGATGCTATGGACTGAACCATGCTCCCCAGAACTCCGGATTCATATACTGATGCTATATCCTGCCAGTGTGACTGTATTTGGAGATAGGGTGTTTAGGAGGTAAAGTTAAATGAGGACGTAGGGTAGGGGTCTAATCTCATGGGATGGATGAACAGATCTCCCCGTATAAAAATGATCTCCTGATATTCCCCACACATGGATGCCTGCTTATCAGGAAAAGGTCATAAGGACTTATGAAGAAGGCGACTGACTACCTGCTAAGAAGAAAGCCCTCTCCAAAAGCCAACCCCGTAGGCATTCTGATCTTGAATTTGGAGCCTCCAGACTATGAGAAAATAAAGTTCTGTTGTTTTAGCCATGCAGTCTGGTATTTTTTTATGGCAGCCCAAGCAGACTAATATACCTACTCATGAAATTTCATAATTGTCCATGGTTATATTGCCACCAGTCAGAAAGGGAACAGCCTAGAAATCCAAGAAAGTGCTGGTTACTGATAAGCAAAGTTTTAGGTCAATAAAACTCTGCAAATTAGTTGAAAGAAAGGAACTCTCATTGAAAAATTGACACAAGGACAAAATTCATCTTTCAGAAGATGCATGGATTACCTGGTGTGTCTCAGAGACGCCACACGATTTCTTGCAGTAAGACTTGATGACTGATGACCTTGGGGAAAGCAATTGAGTGAGATCAAAAACTTTGAAGGGGACCCTCCCTGGCGGCGCAGTGGGTTAAAGCACAGCACTAAGAAGCTTAAGCACCTTCTGCATGAGTTCTATCCCAGCCTGCCGGAGGTGCCACATGGCGCGGCAGACCTCTCCTGACCCGCCCGCTGCTCCCCTCAGCAGTGTACTTCGTCGATCTGCCTGTTCGGCTCCCCTCTCTGTCTCTGGTGAATCCTCTCATCCTCCGCATCTCTGGCCTATATCCCAGTTCTATATGAATAAATAAATAAATCTTTTAAAAAAATTAAAAAATAAAATAAAACAAAGAACTTTGAAGGGAGACTGGAGTTGGTGGTAGTAAACAGGAAAAAAGGGAGAGTAGGGAGACCTCTGGAAGAGGAGGAGAAAGGACAGCAGATGGACCCCACATGTTAGGAGTCAGCTTGTCTGAGTGAATACGAGGAGGGAAGGGGCAAAGGTGTCCAGGTATGAAAAAGATTGCAAGGTTTAAATGTTACAAATACATCTCCCTGAAGGAGAAGCACCGTTTCCCTGCCCCCACTCACATGCAGTGACCTTGGGTTACAAGTCTCAGTACCTGGGGGCTAGTGATGCACTATCAAACTATGGCCAGTCACTGAGACAACGTCTCTGCCCAGGGAGCTGACCCCCATGGCACAGCAGACCTCTCCTGCCTTGCCTGCTGCTCCCCTCAGCAGTGTATTTCAACATATCTGCCTGTTCTGCTCCCCACTCTGTCTCTGGTTCATCCTCTCATCCCCCCACACCCCAGTTTACACCCCAGTTCTTGTATGCATAAATAAATAAATATTTAAAAAACAAGTCTCAGTACAGGAACCTGAGCAGGGAAACTGCTGAGTACTAAGGGTAGAGCTGAGCGACCAGGTGGGTCTATATAATATAGAAAGCAGGTGGGACTGTACTCTTGCTGATTTCAGCTTGAGACTTGGAAAAGACACATGGAGGAGAAACACAGAGGGGCTGTCCTTGGCAGGGACAATGGCCACCGCTATCTTGATTTGTACTTGATTTGTGATTTTTGCATCTTGCCTTCTGCCCCAGCTCTCTGAGACCTGCCTATTTCCTTTCTTATGTTCCTTGCCAGAGAGTACCTTAGATTTGTGGCCAACATTTGGGCCTCACTGGCCCCACTTCAGGGCAAACCCGTTTGGCTGGGCATTTGTACACTAGAGGAGTGGGTAATTTGGGGGATTTTATTGAAAAACTAATCCTTTGTTTGCTTCCTTTTTCTACTCACACTAATTCTACTAAAGACCTTTCAGAATAAGATTCTGCTTCCTTTGCCTTTGTGCAGGAGATGGCTGGATCTCTTTTAGAGGGTACACACCTTGACAGCTTGCGTCTCCTGGGTACTCCTCAATCATATGCTAATAAAAGAATAAGAGGATAGGTAGGAATGCAAAAGAGAAATCCAGTGTTTTAGGGACAGCAAGATGGGGCAGTATCCTGTCTGACTGCTGTAGAACACATCAGCTTGACATATACTTTTCACCAGCTCTTTGAGACGGATTTTAGAAACAGCAGCAACAGTGATGGGGAAAAATTTGGCATAGGATTTACTGAATTGAGGCAAGAGGAGTGCACAGGTACAATTGCTATAAACCAGGATTTATTTTGAGTGAAGACCCAACTGCCAAATGTTATGGAAGGAAGGAAAGAAGCAAGTAAGAAAGGAAGAGTGAGACACGTGTGACTTGGTGATGGGAAACCCGCGAGGATTACAGTTGAGATGGAAAAAAAAATGTACAAAATGATGTAAAAATAAACTTTTGTAATAAAAAAAAAGAAGAGTGAGAAAGAAAGGAAGAAAGGGGAAAGGGAGGGAGAGATGAAGGGAGAAAGAAACAAGAAAGAAAAGTCCTTTAGGCCTTTGGAAGGATGAGTGTTAGGTATCCTTGGCTTCCCCTGGGGTATTAAATTTCCTAGTCAGAACCGCATGAAATTTGATATCCCCTTGCAGGAAATTAGAAAAAAGTCATTTGTTTGCCTAAGAGCTATAAACTCAACCCAGTAGCCAGAAATTATTGGGGGTGCTCCACTCTGTTCCCAGGTTCCTCAACCCTTGTGTGGGCTGGAAAGATGGGGTTCTTCTCAACTTCTGTACTGGTGGGAAGCCACCTCTTCTCCCCACAGGGCTTCTCTTTTAAGATTTGCTGGTGGGATTGGACTCTGTGTTCTGGCACCTACAATCCCTACTCGCCTCGGAAGGGCTGATATTTCAGTAACATAGGATGCTGCTGCTGATCACCTTCTCCACGACAGTACGTGCAAAACATTTGTGATTGTTTCTGACAAACCAAAAGAGAGTTAAACAGAATGTTGTATCCATAGTAATGGCCTTTTAACTTCCTTTTGAAGTATTACTCCAATTATTCTTATAGAATAACTATAGAGTAAACAAAAAATGGGAATCACCCTCATCTTACCACCCAGAGATAACTGTATCTTGTATCTTGTATCTTGTATAGCATACAAGATTTACATATCATGCACATGCAGACATGAAATATGAAAATAGTGTCATTTCCGTTATTTCCTTCCCCTTCTGCAGTTTATCAGGCTATTGTGAACACTTCTTCTACACAATACAGTGTTCTTCTACACAACACTGTCAATGGCTGGCAACCACCAACTCCCAGAGGTGTCTAAAATAAGCATTTGCTTAGTTTACAAGTGAGCCAGGGGGCAGCTGATCTGGGCTCTGCATTTGCAGGGGTTCAGCTGCTGTGGGCTCAGCCTGGCTGTTCTTGGGCTCCCTCAAGTGCCCGTGCATTCAGCTGCCAGCAGCCGGTTGCCGTTATAATTGGCTCATTTGTCTAGCACTGGCTGACTACTGCTTCTTCTGGGAATGTTACAGCTGGCCAACGGGGGCAATTCCACTCGTTTGAGGTGAGTTATCCTCCCAGAGGCTAGTGTGGGCATGTTCTCACAGCTATTCAGAGGAGCAAGGGTGACGCAGATAAGTGCCAGCACTTTTGCAAGTTTCTACTGGTGTGATATTGGTTCACATCCTGTTGTGGGCCAACAGAAGTCAGGCCAAGTGCAGAGTGGAGGCTGGGCACAAGTTTGGGGCAAATGGAGTGGGTACAGGGAGCGGTAGAGAAGGTGGGACTTTTTTTTTTTTTTTACATAAATGCTTTCACCAATATCTGTGTCCTCTGATTACTGTGTGGAACAGATTCCTAACATTAGTATTCTAGGTGGAAGCTACATACTTTCCTGAAGGCTGAAGGTCAACCACCCCATTTTTCTCTGGAACCATGTACTGTTGTACATTCCCATGAGCTGTAAATGAAAGAACATATTTCTGTATGACCATGATTATAGAGACAATATGCAAACTGAGAATACACTAGGATATTTTTAAATGACATGATGTGCCCCCAAAGTTTCATAGACATGAACAAAGGAGGTCCCAGAAGAGGACCTAACATGGTCCTTGGGAAATGTCTACCCTTTCATCGCCCTAAGGCATACTGGGAAAAACTCTGGGACAATTTTGAGGATCAGAGAAGGTGACTGCATATCTTGGTTTGTGTAGAAATATCTTGGCTTACTCTGCTGGCCTGGTTTAATTTTTAAGAGTGCCCGCTTTTATTCTCAAAGGTTTTCCATTTTGGGTTATAGATTCTATGACCCCCCAGGTCACGAATACCTCAGCTTTTCTTTGATCCTAAACTCCTTCATTTATTTAACTCATGGGTTTTTTTGGGTTTTGTTTCGAAAGTTGACCATATGCCTAGTTTTGTGCGAGGCACACAGCATACTGCATTGAGCGAAATCTGAAGCAGTTCCTGACCGTATGGTCTTTCAGTCTACGAGTGGAGAGCTGTTTTAAAGGAATAGTCACAAAAATCAATGTAGACCTGACACTGTGGTTGCTACAAGCAGGGGTCCGTGGTGCTAAGACCTTTTATCTTGTAGGGAGAATCGATCATCCCAGAGAACAGGGGAGAATCCGTGAAGAAGGAATAGTTCCGCTAAGATTGGAAGGATACATTGGGGACACTAGGGCAAGGCATTCCTGGGGCAGAAAAGAACACATGCAAATCTGCCTGAAGGAAGAGGATGTAGAGAGGATGTGAAAAAAGACTCATGTTTCCAAGGGATTTGGAGTGCGATCAGACAGGAGAGGTAAAAGGCAGGAGATACTGTCAAGCCCACCCAGCCCACTTTACACCTTGCTTCCTTCCTGACAGAATCTCCATTTTCCTCACAGACTTTTGCCTCAGGGGACACTGACTTTGCTATGCAATTTGTGATCACATTGGTAAAATGGTAATAATTTTTGAGGCTGGGTGATAGGTAAATGGGGTTCATCATACTAGTTTCTCTGTTTTTGATTGAAAATATATTAAATTTTTTTAACTGTGTGGAAATACAGTTTTCATTCTACTAAGGATTTATCAACAATAGTCAGGTTAACGTTTTTTAAAAAAAGATTTATTTAATTATGCACACAAGAACTGGGGTACAGGCCAGAGGTGCAGGGATGTTGAGAGCATTCACCAGAGACAGAGTGGGGAGCAGAACAGGCAGATCTACTGAAATACACTGCTGAGGGGAGCAGCAGGTGGGTCAGGAGAGGTCTACCATGCTTTGTAGGTCACCTCCCTGACCAGTGATCGAACCCATGCTGCAGTGGCTATGGATAGCTTCATAGTATTGCACTTTAAACTGAGGACCCCAGTCAGGTTAACTTTCAATTGTGGTAGCTGAGTGTACAGAGCATATCTGCATTGATGCAAAAATTCTCCTAGAGTTTTGGAGAGAATCCCTATGCTAATTTGTTATTTGAGAGTTAACTATACAATGGGGGGAAAAAAGAGCCAAAAAGAATGATTTGTTGGGATCAAAAACAGGGGTGAGGAGGGAAGTGCACGGGATTATAGTGATGGCACACGGGTAACTTGGTGATGGGAAACCCGTGGGGATTACAATTGAGATGGGGGAAAAAATGTACAAAATGATGTAAAAATAAACTGTTATAAAAATAATTTTTAAAAAATTTAAAAAAAAAGAATGATTTGTATTTGAGAGAATGTGAAAACTCCCAGGAGCAGAGGGCATATTGAGAGGGAAGGTTTGGGTGAAGTAGAGTCAGGAGTTAATGTGAAGATGAGTCTAGGGGAAACAGGTTTATGTGAGGAATGGTTCCCAGAAGGAGAGAGATGCTCATCTGTAGTCCCTACATCCTCAGACAGGGTTGGGGAATTGGTAATTAGGCAAGACACTGGAAGAGATTTGACAAAAGTATTGAGGTGGGTGGAGAGTAGGAGTTTACTGAGGTTACAGAGTAGAATTGCAGGGCAAAGGAAAATTGTAAGGAAGTGTAGAAGGAAACAATGGATAAGAAGAATAATGGGAGGAAAACACCAATGGACTGTGGGAAAGAAGTCAGTTTAGTGGCTCCACCCTGGTGATATTAAAAATTGACTCACCTCCAGAGAACTGGACTCAGCAGGAGAACTGGACGAGGTAGGGGCCTGGCACTTGTGTGTTTAAAAGAGAAGCTTTGATTCGAACTAGGCACAGTGGTGCATAGATCAGAGTGTGAGAACCCCCATCACCTGGTTGGGAAGGAAATGATGTCACCTCCGGAAGGAAGACTTGCCTCCTTCTAATAGGGAAGTGCGCTGGATGGCTTCAGGGTGGTGGTGTCCTTTTTCTTGGTCCTTCAGATTGAAATTTGAGGGTTCCATTTGTCCAGGGGCACCTTTCCAGGGTCCTGGAAGAGAATTGGACACAAAGATCAGTAGTCCTGTCTGTGCTTGCCTCGGGTGTGGGGGAGGGGCGAGGGGGGTTCAGGGCGTGTAGGTGGGGGGCTCCTCATCCAAGGACTAGCAACTGGAAATTTGTTGTTTGTTTATGCAACTTTTGATTCTGGAAATAAAATGGGCTTTCAAAATCAGCCAACCCACCAATCAGCACTGTGGAGGGTGGTATGTTTGGGCTAATTGTTTTCCTTTTCATTTAAACTTATTTCCCACTGAGTATGAGGTAGCACTTCCCAGTAAATCTTTAGTAATTCCCAGGCATACAGCTATTGCCCTCACTCCCCAGCAGGACATACTAACGTGGACTCATTTGTACAGAGAACAGGAATAGTAGCTTTTATAGCTTATGACCTGAAGAACTGCTTTTCCTCCTGACAATCATAATTTGCCCATGCTTCTAAAAACACATTTCAAAATCAAATGGACTTTGAGAGTTTGGAATGTGCTGGAAGAATATATTAAGGCATATCTTATTAGCCGGGTTATCTATCTATCTATCACTCTAGATAAACTTTCCTCTTGTTTTTTTCTTTCTTATGATTTCCTTGGTCACTTTGAGTTGCCTGAAGGTCAAAGAATTAGGCCTGCCCCAATTAGTGGTGGTAACAGGAGTCAGAGAGAATCACTTTTTTTTCTTGGTTTCCACTGTGATTCTCTGATTTGAATTCACAGTGGCAGGATGAAGGAAGGGCGGGTGTCTGGGAGGGAAGCACAAGTTGAATAAAGGCCGGGAGGCCAGTCGGTCATGGGTCACTGTCTGCACAGACTCTGGAAGCAGAGCAGAAGCAAAGCTGGCTTGGCATGGGCAGCTGGATTAGGGAGGCTGAGCAAGAGGGGGTCTGCATGGTGTCTGGGAAATCTGGAGCCATTTAAACAAGCCATTTAAACCTGACAGACTCGTTGGTGTTTTAAGATTTCCCAGGCATTTATGTGCAGGATGAGGTAGGGAGAATGTGTGTTGGGGGCACAGTAATGGAGGTGATGTTGGTGGTGGGGGGATGAAGTTAGGAGAATAAAGGTTCTATTTTGAGTAAAAAAAAAAAAAATCCTGAGCACCTACTATGCACTTTGTGTTGAGTCAGGCACCACCTTCAAGAAATCCTTTCAGTGAAAATAACCAGGATCTGCCTTCTTGGCCAAGTCTGAACTCAAATTCTTTCTTGACCCTTCCTCTTTTCTACCCAATGTATCAAGTCTTCCTGTTATCCTGTGCCTTTTGCATCTGCCTCTTCTCCCCCACCCCACTTCCTTCAGCCACCTCAGCTGACGCCTTCTCGCCCTTCTTAGGTCTATCTGCTTCCACTCTCCCGCTCAGCCCTCGCTCACCTGGCAGCTGTGGGAGGCAAGGATGGCTTTCTAAAATACATTGATTCAGGCCACCTCTCCCCCAAACAGGCCACCTTCTCCTGAGGTGGGTTCCCCAGTGTCTTTAAGGTAAAGCCCAAGCTCCCTGGGAGAACCAGCCCTGGTACCTGGGTCCTGGTTGGGGTTCTCCTGCCCCCACCTTCCCAGCATTCCTGCTTCCCCTACCTTGGCGCTTTGGATGTGGTCATGTGAAATTACTTTTGTACCTCTAAAGGGCCTAACAGGTCACGCTGTCTCTCTTGCTTGTGGGAATCACATCCTCCATTCTGCCTCTCTCCTGACTTATTCTTCAAAATCCATTTAGGGACCCCCTTCCTGCTGAAAACTCTTTCTGGTCCACAGGTTTCCTCCTGGCTGCTTTCAAAAAAATGATCTCTTTGATTGCCCTGCAGTTGAGCATAGCACATCATCCCTGGCTGTTTTCTCCTATAAGGGCGTGTCAGGATGGCAGGGATACTTCTCCCATGGCCTCTTGACATATAAAAGGGGCTTCAGAAATATTCCTCAAATAGGAGTGGATGAATTTACAGGAACCTGGGTCACAGGAGAAGGGGAGGAGTTTTGGTTCTCTCTCTCTCTTTTTAAAGATTTATTTATGCATACAGAACTGGGGTACAGCCAGAGGGCAGGGGCAGTGAGAGGATTCACCAGAGACTGAGTGGGGAGCAGAACAGGCCGACTGATGAGGTACACTGCTGAGGGGAGCAGCGGGCGGGTCAGGAGAGGTCTGCCGTGCCATGTGGATCACCTCTGGGTCTGGAGATCGAGCTCAGGCTGAAGTGGCTTTAACTTCTTTGTGCTGTGCTTTAACCGGCTGCGCCACCAGAGAGGACCCTTGGTTCTCTTTTATTGACAAAGAACTGAGGCTCAGAAAATGATTTCATAATTGGTTCAAAGTTTCTCATTTCACTGCCCAGAATCCATTGAGCGCTGCTGATTCCCTGTCCAGGGCTTTCTCCTCTTCCTCACCATCATAATGGGGCGTGCCAAGGAAAAGAGAGCTCAGTCTGCCTTCGTTTCTGGCTGATCATTCAGGAAGCTTCCAATGGGGCCATAGAAAGTACGAGAACAATAGAGGAAGAGGCTTTGATAGATTGGTAAAGAATTTCACAAACTGGAGAATTATTTGGCTTGGCCATGGTAAAATGTGAGGAATCCAAATGAACCATTTTTCAACATAATTGCAAACATTTATTTCACTGAAGTCATTATTCAAAACACAAATCCTCCCTGTGTCTGAAAACCCAAGGATCTAGTTGCATGTGTTCACCACTGTTTTTTTTTTTTTTCCTTCTTTCTTCATTGCAATTGATGCTCTTTGCTACCTTTTTTTTTCTTCTTTGATTGACTGTAAGAGCCTCATTGCAGCATGATAGATATTGTTCATTTAACTCCAGCATTTACTTTTCCCCTAAACTAGTGCTCTGTTCATGATTGATCAGACTTCTCCTCCATTTAGCACCCATGGAAAACATCGCGAAAGATTGGGTCTGCAGCTCGGGGAGCATTTTTGCAGCAATCTGTTCCAGCCGCAGCAGGCATGCGCAGTGGCACGGAAGGTCTTAATGAAACGTTGGCAGATATTAGGGTTTTATGGACTGGAAAACAGTACAAATCAAAGCGCTTTGCTTACTGTTTATATGTTTAGAACATTTTTATTTTCTAAACCTAGCAATGTTCATCTTTTTCATCCCGCACTTGGGCTTGGTTCTTTACATATTGATTTTCCTGTTCACTGGCATGCCTCGCGCTAGGAGGTGCACTCAGGTGTGCGGCCCGCCACGAGGGGCAGCCTGGGGCAGTTCCTGGCGGAGACCCCTCAACCCCAGGACTGGGAGGCAGAGGACCTTTCTGTATAAAAAGAATCTCTACATGGCTTTCCCTTGCATGGCCTTTGGGACAAAAGAGTTGACCTTTTGATGTTAGTTTCTCCCCAACATTTACATGCATAACAAACGCTATAGCAAAAGTAGCATTCTCTCTCTTCTAAATTTTGTAAGGGGATGGGCAGTAAGCAAAATCCATCACAGATGGTTTCTCCAGGAGTCCGCAAATCTTTGATGAGATCGGAGAGATTGTAAATATTTTTGGCGTTGGGGGTCCTATGTGGCCTTTGTTACACAAATTTGCCATAGTTAACGCTCAAAAGATAGGTAATGGGAGTGGCTGTTCTAGCAAACGGTACAAAAAGACTGGGGGGATTGCTGGATTGTGGGTCAAAGTTTGCTGATTTTGGGTTTAAATGAAAAGACTTTAATCAACATTAGACGTATATATGGACAGATCAAGGGAATGAACAAGGAGCAAGGAGGTGCCGGAGACCAGTGTGTCAGGAAGCTAATACTCCCTCAAAGGCCGAGGAGGCAAGGAGAACATGGTGTCACTGTGGCCTGGTGAGAGTGGGGTCCTGGGAGGCACGAGAGCAGGGAAGAAGCTGGGAAGAAATTCTTCTGCTGCTTTTTCCTCCCTCCCTCAGATCTCCCTGCTGTACCTCCCACTGTCTGTTCCAATCTGAAGCCAGCCAGCAAAGAGCCAGGGATTAAGTGTCCAGGAGGCATCACCTCAGAGATCATAGCACAGGTAGAAGGGGCAGGGGTGGTGGGTGAAGGAGGGAGAGAGAACAGATCAGGGAGGAAGTGGGCAAAGCAAAAGGAGAATCAACAGCACTTGTGATGTCCACTGGGGGCGATCTCCTTAGAACCTTCTGCTTCAGGGAGTGACTGTAAGCTTGTCTGGCTGCTTCCCTGAACTCTGACTTTATTTTAGAGAACTGACATGCCCCACAAGCCTGCCCCAGGTTCAGGCATGGCTCCAGTCACAGCGATAGTTTCCAGGATAGCTCATGGACTAATTCAGGTGGAGATGCAGGTGCAAAACTTTTGGAAAAGCTGAGATCTCTTTGTCTGATCATGTGGAAAGGCCCTCACGGGTCGGGGGAGCTGTGCCCTAAAATCACAGAGGAGGGCACAATGCCAGGGGGTGGGATGGAGGTGGGGAGAAAGCCAGGTCCCGATACTATCACTTAGGCCTGGATCAAGTTATATCTGACACAAGAAAGATTTCTCAGGTAGATGAGTCAACAATTTCCCTTTTACCGAGACACTTCTGTTTGTAGCAATTGAAAAATCTTGGCTGAGAGAGAATGTCCAGATTTCTCTCTGGAGCCAGGACAGACTCCTCACACTGTCATATGAGGCACCCCTAATCACCACCACAAGCCAGAGGCGGAGATGCACCTGTGAGTGTGTTTTCAGGTACGCATATAGCTGCTATAAACATGGCATTAATTGCTAGCACACATATTTTTAAGATATAAAAATCTTCCTTTTTTGAATATATGCATGACATGAACCTCGTATGTCTCAAAGACAGCAACTTCCTAGGTAATTACACAGGTATGATGAAAACCATGGCAACCCCGGAGTTCTGAGACCTCATGTCATCCCAGGGCGCTGCGGCTCTGGGGCGCTGTTGACATAGTGCCCATCAGCTCTGCAGTGTCTGGGTGGCTTTCCCTTTGCTTGAGGTCTGCTGCACATCAGGTTTCTTTGCAACCACCTGGCTTCATACTGTGCCACACCTGCCA